GCAATGCCTGCGGAGGACAGAAGAGGTTATTGGATCTCCTGGGACTTGAGTTATGGACAGTTGTTAGCTGCCATGTAGGTGCTTGGATTAGAACCCACGCCTTCTGCAAGAACAACCAGTGTTCTTAACTGCTGAGCCAACTCTCCAGCCCCTAGGAAAGGCTTTTGCTAAAACTTATTTCTGGGGTCTGTGAATTTCATGCTTCAATTTACAAGGCAATCACACAAAAGTCACTAGCTTGGGATGGCTTTGGTGGTCATAGGGTTTCTAGAATGGTATCATCTTATGAAAGGCTCCATTCTGAAAGGCATGCAGTGTCGTGTCTCTTGAACTAAGGCAGACTCATAGGTGATGATGAGCAAGAAAACCAAAATGACCACAGTACACTGAGGAGATAACTATGTGTGAGATAAAAGACTTTTTTTCTATTCTAGAATGGCTGAACCTGATAATGTGGTGAAGATTTCACTGAGTGGAAATCACCTCAGGTCCTGAGGTCATGTTTCCTGCATATGTGGGCACACAGCACTTGTAACTGGACCCTCAGTGTGAATTATGAATGTATTGAACCTCTACTAATATGCTGAATCTTTTTGTTTTGGCTAAAGCTATGGTTAAGTATTAATTCATGTCAACCTTGAAATTCAGTAGATACAGTAAGCAGTAAAGCACAAATATGGTAAATTAGATGCTAAGGTAAAATGGATCATCTTCAGCAGGAAGTGGAAAATTATGTCTACCAAAGATATACAGTATACACTTTATACTGAAAGATACTAAGCTTGAGTGAGGAGCCCTGCTGAGACACATGGAATATGGAATACACCAGATTTCTAGATATCACTTGAGGACAGAAAATTAACTTGAACTTATTTTTCATGGGCAAATAATGTTCAGAAAACACAAAAGCCTTTCAGAAGACACCTATGGGTGATGATCAAGTTGTGGCCACAGAACCTGTCTAGAGGAAGTCATACACAGCAGGCAAGGTGATATAAAAAAGTTCTGAAGATGTGAAGTTGCCCATTTCCAGTTATAGCTGGAAAACACTGTGAACTCACTGAATGTGCCTCATACACATGACCGCTACAGAATCATTGGTGAGGAATTCGTGCAAATTCCTTTTATGATTAATTTGTTCAAAGAGCTGAATATCAACTTTGGTGAGTAAGAGGTCATTGTGGCTGATGTTGCAAGGGGACACATTTCATCACAGTAGGAGAGGTGAGGTGACTGTTCACATTGCTTTCACAATCAGGAAGAAGAGAGAGATGAATGATAAACTCCATTTCCTCTGTGCTTTTAACTCAGAGACACTGTCCATGAAATGGTATAACCCACATTTGAGGTTGGTCTTCAACACCAAGGTAGCTGGATAGTGGAAATGTAGACTGATGTAAGACACTATGGAAACCTATGGAAGTTCCTCAAGAGTCTAGGTATTGATCTAACAAGTGACCCAGCTGCACCACTCCTGAGGCGATAACCAAAGGAATCTATATCCCAGGGTAGTGATGCCTATTCGTCCGTGTCCATTGCTGCTCTGTTCACAGTAGGGAGGGAATGGAAACAGTTTAGTTGTCTAGCAACTAACTAATGATGGCTCATGAAAGTATAGGGCATATAGACAATGGAATTTTAGTCAGCTTTAAAGAAAAATTGAATTGTGAAATTCTCAGGTAAAAGGCTGGAGCTGGATTTAATTATATATATAAAATATTTAATTGGAGTGATCCTACATATTAGTTACATTTTTGTTACTGTGATAAAATACCATGACCAAAACAAATTCAAGGAAAAAAGTGTTAAAGTGTTTATTTTGGCTCGTGTGTCCAGAGTGATAGAGAGTCCACCCTGCCTTAGAGGGGACACCCCGGTGGCCAGAGAAAGAAGCTCACTGGTCACATCTTTATGCACACAGGAAAACAAGCAGGAAGTAGGCTGAGATGATAACCCTTCCACACCTGCCCACAGTAATGCGCTTTCTAGCAGCTCTTCTTTGCCTCCTTAAGATTCCACAATCTCCCAAACACTGCCACTACTGGGAACTATGTGTCAGATACAGGAGAGAAGGGGGATGTTTTATTTGAACAACCACACCTTATTGACCTGTATGGGAGGATAATGCCTCCCTCAGGTGCCATTGGCTATCAAATAGTTCTTAGGTTACCTCCGTTTGAGTCCTTGGTCAGTGATACACCATATGCCATCTCCTCATATTTGGTCTATTGGATGTTCTCTTGGATAACTTCCAGAATTTAGTGGGAAGACCCTGCTACCAAAGCTACCACATACTTGAGTCTAAGGACACTGAGAAATCAAGATTGTACTGAGCTTGAAGCTTCATCCCTGCTGTGTAGCTTTTATAGTAGAGTATCCAGAGGTGCTATGAACCCTCCTGGGTGTGAAAGTTGATCAACAGTCTTATTCAACTGAGAACCATGTGAGATACAATAATGACCAATGTGGCAAGATATGCCTAGTTGTGTATAAAGGCACATATGTTGTGGGAACAATTTCTTGCTTTCTGATAGGATTTGAGGCCCCCTGGATAAGACAGAGCTCATGCCTGTACAGTGCCCTGGGACAACAACTATGGTTGGGTAGGTCAGAGGCCCCAGGGAAGAACCCGATACTATTACATTGCTTAAAGAACACATGATAAACTGCCTCCTAAACACATCCTTATGCTGATAGAGTTGTGCATCTCTCAACCCTCATCAGAAGGTTTTTTTTTTTTTTTAGTACATGTTAATACAGAGACTTAAAAGTGACTGGATAATAACGAGCTGCACAACTTCAAACCAGACAAAGTCCCAGTACAGATATGGCAGGGGCTAACAAAATCTCACCCTTAGCTATGGGCTTGTGACAATGATATCTTCTTGGGGAGGGAGAGTCCGATTCTTCGTGAATGAGGCTGTGGATAGGCTGACCGTGGTTCATTGGGTGGCCCTACAAGCATATACTTACAGCGGCACTAAGCCGACACTGTGGGTTTAACAAAGAGGACATAGGAATGACCCTACCGCTGCAGCACTAAGTACATGAGCCATAGAGGAAACAAGGAGACATCAAACCGGTGCTGACTTCACAGTGTCAGCTCTACGCCGGCTTTCATTGTGCTGGAAGGTAGTATGCATGCTACCAGTAGGAAAAAACAACCATTATCCTTATCCATATAGCTGTGAATTCTGCAAGCTAAAACAACTAGGCTGGCAAGATGTGACCTCTCATGCAACAGTGGCATAAATATATGGGAGTCAACTATCTCTTTCTAATTGGATTTAAGGCCAGGGTCACAAGATGGAGCCCATCCCTGTGAGTGATATTGGGCCTATTGGACCTAGAAACTTGTGGCTAAACAGACCACAGTACATAGGGGAGAGCCTAACACTATTATTCTGCTAAGTAGATATATTAGTAAAGCAAATCCTAATGACTTATTGCTGTAGCCATAGATTAATGAGTCACTTGGCTCTCCCCAGGGATACGTCCTTACGCACCAGATAGTGATAAACACAGAAACCCACAACTGCTCAACTTGCAGACAATAAGAAACTGCAGAGTAATCCCTGAATTGAACGTCTATATCAAACTTCTTCCAAAGGCTCAGGGATCACTGAGGAAGAGGTAGTGGAAAGATTGTAAGCCAGAGGTCAGGTATGAGCACAAGAAAGCAGAGTGTTCCAGAAAGCTAGGAAGTGGTTCGTATGAACTCAAAGCAATGGTGACACCATGTACAAGTCCCAAATAAGCTCAACTCAAACAAAATCCCAGTGTGGGCATTTAGAATTAAGAAACCCCACTCTACCAGAGGGACTATTGCAAACTGTTGCAAACTGATGACTTCTGGGAAGGGAAGAGTCAGTCTCTTTTAAGGGTACAACTCATGGTGGTAGTTTGACAGGGTTTCAGTAGATGGATCCATACTGAAGGATCCATTTATATAGGAGGTGGAAGTTCAGACCTTCTGGCTTCATAGATGCTGCCTGTGGGCTGGTAGACAATAAGGCCACAGAAGCCATTTATGTAAATGCACATTATGGATGCAAACAATGCGTAGTGTAAGGGTCTTCTGAATGAGAGAACCTGTTTTCTGGTTGAATGACATGGAGAAATCACCCTGGGTTCACAACTGGAAGAGCCCAAAGTGTTGTCTGATTTTCATAGTCCCAGATGGCTCTATTCTGGCTAAGGTTGTGAAATGTCACTAAGAGGCCTGCTGAGACTAAACTGAACTTATTACCAAGCCAAGCTGGATGTATGGACCCCACAATGAATGATACAACTCTTGTAGGTGCAGCTGACCGTGACTGTATTTAAGCCATGGACAGAGCCTACGCTTGTTACTGTTAAGCCTGGCTGCAAACCTGTGATGGGGAGTCTCCTAGTCTCCATCAGAAAGAGCTTTGATGCTATTTAAAAAAAAAATAAATGTGATTTGCTTACCAAAAATCCTTCTAAACATCTGTATTTGACCCAAACTGCTGCTTTTACATCCTCACTATGTACTGTTAAACACTACATTATTCCACAGATATTGGCTAAAATTCATAAAAAATAAACTGCTCAGAATGTGTTTCTAATACTTATTCCAAGATTATTTTATAAATATAAGATCCAATGAACAATTAAGAAGTGACCAAACTTTGTAAGAACCTGGAGAGAGTGAAGTTGTGGGACACAGCTGTTTTCCCAGGATGCAGAATTGCCATCTGTCAGTCTTCATAGAGTAGCAATGATCATGGTGATGCGCAGCTGAACTTGGACTCCATTCACAGCCAAGAATTAAGGTAACCCACGCAGATATGACGACTTCAGTCATCACAGTAATGAGGCTGTTCACCTTCCCTGAGGGGGTGGATCATGGGACCCTCCTCTCCATATCAGAAGTTACTTCCTCCTACACCTTAGCATTGTGGCCTTGGGGATAGTGTGCTGGTCTATATAGGAGGTGGAAAGTTAACTGCAGGCAGAAAGCAGTGTAACTCCTTTTCTGGGTCGGCAGCCAAACTGTGCTGTTACTGCTCAGAGATGCAGCTGACTTTGACTCAACCACGTTCCTGTAAGTAATTCTTCACCCAGTTTTCGGTAGCTAAGCTTAAACGTTGTATAATTTCCAATGCTGTTTTGGATGGTTTACATTTTGGTGTCAGTTTTGCCTACCTGGATTTAATGAACATTTGTAAATGCCTTACCATGACACTTTTAATCAAATAGAGCCGAGAAATACTACCTAATCACTACTCTAGAAAGAAAATGCACAGTACACTCTTGGAACAGTGCTTCTTGGTCATCTTTCCCTGGAGATGTGTAGAAATGTCTAGAGGCATTTGAATTGTTTGTTACCTAAGGTGGAAAAGAGACCTATTGTTGGTATACACTGGTTGGAGTAAGGATTGTGTTCACACATTTTCAAATGCCCAGTAAAGCTTCAGAAAACTGAATGATTTGTTTCAAAAAGTCAAAAGCGCAGAAATAGATACATTTGACTGGAATGAGGGGACAATGGTCTACGTGCTGAAAATCAACCAACTGCAGGAGGAACAAAGGAATGTGTCCCAGTTTGTGTGTCTTCTCTATGAAGTATTTGACTTGTGTGAACTTAATCATGTCGGTTCTGGGGACATACTAAGCAAGATTAGGAGATGTGACTCTATCCATCTTTGACTATTCTGTTCAAGCACTCTTTCCAAAATCGCATTATGCTAATATTTGTTTCTGTTCTTGATAAAGTTTCATCTAAAATGAGTTGTTGATAAGCACAATTTGGAAATTATGTAGTGTAAAACCAAAACCTTACAATCTCCTTATGCAACTGTCAGACTTTAAATATTTCACATAATAAATAGAATCAACTTATATATACTAACTTTATACATAAATATGTACCATGCATAAAATAATTTTAGAAAATCATCATCATTTTTGAGAAGTTACATTCTATAATAGGAATTATCAGAAGGTAAGTATTTATTTTTGAGACAGGATCTCAATATGTAGCCTTTTCTGACCTGGAACTTAATTTGTAGACAAGGCTGCCCCCCAAATAACAGCAATCCACTGGCTTCTTTCCCCTGCCCCCACCTCCCCTCAGTGCTAGGTTTAAAAGCCTGTGTGAGCACACTTGGCTGAAAATAACTTTTTATTTTGTACGTAAAGCATCAATACTACACAGTGTTTTATAGTTTTAGATATTTTGACTATTTGGCTTTATGTGTTTTCCAGTATAAATTGTACCAATTCCCTATTTATATTGCACATTTCGTCAGGGACATTCCTGCTGCTGTTTGTACCAAGTTTTCTTCTGTGGGAAAATGTGCACTCTGCATCTACACATGACACTGTAGGTGGCCTCAGATCTATGAACCTCAAGGAACTATTGGATATGGCCATGCTGTTTTCTGGAAACATCGGTCACCTCAATAAGCAACTGCGTAAGTTATATGTAAGTATCTCACCTCTGGCTTCTTCCCCAACTTCCTACAGATGATTGCTTAAACGTGTCATGAACTGAACTTCTAATTTTATACCTGTCATGGAAGTGAAAGAATAGCGAGGCACTGAAAAACGAAACATGGAGAATGTGGCAGTTTCATGAAATCTCTAATAGTTTCAAAAAATTCAATGATTTTTAAAATTTATGTCTACTTAGTTCTTTATATTTTTTCTCAAATTTGCATTTATGGCATAAAATTCAAAATGGTGCATCTGGGGAGCAGCCTTGATATCTTGTCTGCTTTACAGCAGGCCTCTCTCCACTGACGTCTACATTTAGCGAGACCCCACTAATGTCTACACTTTGTGACTCTCCACTGGTGTCTAAACCTAGTTGAGTCTGTCTATGTGCAGTGTAAGAGAAGGGCTTTTCCGTGAGTCACGCAGAGACTAAAAATAATCTAGATGTGATGATTCAAGAGAGGCAAAAACAAATATATTGCCAGCTGGGGAACTCCTAAATGCCAGGGTCCTTTGAAAATGCCCAGGGCATGACACGCAGGGAATGAACGAGACATCAGTTTTAGAAGTGAAGCAGGTTCTCCCCTGTAGACAGGGCTTTCTTACTACAATGGCCGCCTTGAGACAGTGTCTCCAAAGTTGGAGTAGACATGCTATTTGCTGTCTTTTACTAACAAAAGGTTCTTTTTTTTCCCCTCGTCCTGCCTCAGTTCAACAATGTCTTCTCAGCCGGAATTTTCAGTACAATTGTAAGTACCTTATTATATCTGTGTTCTCCCTCTCCAAACCCTCTGAGCTCTTGACTGCTCTGCACTTTAGCACCAAAGACCAAACTTCAAAGACTACACCTTCCCAGAAAAAGCAAACCGAATTTCTAAAAATTGGTATGAGAAAGAAATGCTTCAGGAAATCGGACTTGCAGAGAAAGCAGTGGTTTCTTAAGATTTTTTTCCAAGCACGCACTTTTTAACTTGTTATTTAATGTTTGTGCTCATGACATAAAGCTAACCACAGTGATGTGAGAACTCTGATTTCCTGATTTCAGGTGTAGGCAACCGTGGCTTTCTGCACTGAGTGCAATGCTGATACCCCATAAAGTACAACTGCTCTCTAGTGAGTGAGGGTGTGGAGTAAAACTAACCTAGCTGGAATTCCTGTCAAGAAGGAGGGGGATGTGATCTTTTCAGAGAGCCTCAAATAGTAGGAACAGTTCTTTAAAATTTTCTTGTTCTAGAGCTTATTCATTGTGAGGACTGTTTAGAAAGTAGGTTCTGTCTTGCTGAAGGTCATATGGCTTCTGTTCAAGGTAAATCAATGTTAAGGACAAGACAGATAAACCTTCAGTACAACCATGGGGAGCCAAGTATGTACCTTTGCCTCTGCAAAAAAATATGAATTCATCTTGTCTACTACTCATGAAATTTTTTTTACTGCTCTTGAATGACAGTTTTTCAAAATCTTAGCATTTTCAGTAATCCACTAAACATACAAATTAGCTATTACTTTGAAATAATAGATATGTTAAATAATATAAGTAAATGTTATTTAAATAATTGTGTATTAATTAATATGCAAATTTGTATCAATAATTTGTATTTAATATTTTCCTTGCTTATTATTTCCTAAAATGGCCAGTTATTTGTCTATTTTTAAATTATTTATTTAATGACCATATAGTTAAACGAAGCATTTCATTACAACAGCATTGACATAATCAGTAACAGTTTCCAGAGCAAAGATGCATCTCTTTCAAAATTGACTGTAAATTTTTAGGTTTACAGTTGAATTAATACAGTTATACAATATTGTACTCCATATAAACCCTATAAGACATAAAATTAAATGAGGTTTTAAACTTCAAAAAAGATCTCCATTTCATTATTAAAATATAGTTTCATACAGAAAAATTCATTTTTAATGCAATTGATACTAAGATGTTTGCACGTGCGTCTCTAATCTTTATATATCTGATTACTACTAGTCATAGTCGGTTATCTTCTGAGATCCTTGGCACCTGACCATAGGTATAAAGTCATCAGAGAGATTTCAATGGTAATGTTTTTCACATCTACCGATTAACATGAAGCAAATTTTTATGCTTCTTCCTCAAATAAAAGTCATTTTTTTATTGATTGATTTTTTTGTCTGTATTTCATACAGAGCATCCCAAACACTCTTGTTCATCTTTATACCCACATCCAAAGTGACAGCCTCCAATGCCTCTCCCCCCTGGAGCCCATATACTCTGTCATCCCTGTCATCCCTGTTACTGTACACTCTGTTGTTGACACCCCCAGCCGTTCTCCAGTGCTTGCCCATCCGCTGAGTCTAGTCAGCCTACCTAGAGATCCTTGTTTTAGGAAGATCAGCTCTTCCTCATCTAGCAGCAATCAGTTGCCAATATTCCTTTAGAAAAGATTGGGGTCTGCTGTTCATTTTCCCAGTTCCATGCTGGGTTACTGTCTGGGAGTCTCTTGCCCGCCCCCACCACCGGCATTGTTTCTTGTTAAGTAGCCTTTAGCTATACACATGGACTCTTAAAGAATTATGTTGACCCCTTTAATCTTCTGTCATACTTTCCTTTTGGGTGATTAAGACCATGCAGTTGGCCCAGATAAACCAATTTATTTTTACTCTTAAGGTCATTTGAGGATCTGTTCCTCAGGGGTAACATGGGCTTGGGAGGAGCCCCTGGCTCCTTTCTGTCACAAGTTCCACCTATGTGAAGATAAGTCAAAGATCCTGCTCAACCATGGCTGGCTGGCTTCGCTTGGAAGCATGGAGGAAGTGTTTCCTCTGTGTTGGCCCTCCTTTTGTAGCCTGATCACTGGTTCAAGTCCATCTGGTGGGGTCTCCATGGCCTCCCTGGACAAGAGGACAGATGACTCACCACAGTTACAAGACATTTTGAGAGATGCTCCATAGTCTCCTGGAACTTAGTCAGCCTTGGAGGGCAAGGAGCAAAAACTGTCCTTTAAGTCCCTCTGACCAGATCAGTGTTGATAAATATCCAAGAAGGTTAGTTCCACCACTCTGGTACTTTTAATTACCATGTGCCATGCAGATAAAGCTTGGAAAAGACCAAAGGTTCTCAGATAAACTTTGACTAGACATATATTCCTTGATCTAGTTGTATGTATAATTTGTCAGTGGGTTGTTGGACTAATATGGTTCCCTCTGATTTTTTTTAACCCTAGCTAGGCATTATTTATTTCTCGCATTGTCTCACCCTTCCACCATGGTTTCCCCATTTAAACTTTCCCCCATTTCCCCCATTTCTCCCTTAACAATACCCTTCTCCTATGGTCCCACCTCTCTTGAGCTCCTTCTTTCCCTTTATTTTCAAGGTTCTTTGTATAACCCTCCCTCCCCTCTCCCCCTAAAATAAACCCATTTTTATCCATATCGCCCTTATTAAGGCCTGTTTACTACTGTTCTTCTCTTTCATATTCTTTCTTTTCCTTTATCTCCCTGGTTCCATTTCATTATCCTGGTTCCTGTAGTTATGTCTGGTTACATACTTACTTATAAGGATTTGGTTCTAGGATCCACATATGAGGGGAAAACATACATCATTTGTTATTTGTTAGTCTGTGTTACTTCACTTAGTATAACAGTTTCTAGTTCCATCCATTTACCTGCAAATTTCATGATTTCATCTTTCTTT